CATTTAAGGTGTTACAAATACTTTTTCCATACCTGAATTTTTTGTTTGTTTGCTTCTTACCTTTTTCATGCTGTTCTTTTCTGTTGTTGTCCTTTTTAGTTATACATGATGGTAGGATGCACTTTAACATATTATACATTCGTGGAATATAACTTCCCATTCTGTGGTTGGAGAAGATGTGGAGTTATACTGGTTATGTATTCCTATGTGAACACAGGAAAATTATGTTTGATACATTTTACTGTCTTTCCTATTCTCACCCTCATTGCCCCCTCCCTTCCTTTCATCCCTCTTTGTCTAATCCAGTGATTAGACTTCTATTCCCCACCACCTTATTGTGTTAGAGCATCTGCATAACAGAGAGAACATTTGGCCTTTGTTTTTTTGGGGAGGAGGGTTGGCTTATTTTACTTATCATGATAGTCTCTAGTTTATCCATTTACCAGGAAATGACATAATTTCATTCTCCTTTATGGCTGAGTAATATTCCATTTTGTATATATATACCACATTTTCTTTCTCCATTCCTCTGTTGATGGGCATCCAGGTTGGTTCCACAGCTTAGCTTTTGTCAATTGAGGTATAAACATTGATGCGGCCATATCACTATAGTATATGGGTTTAAGTCCTTTGGGTATATGCTGAGGAATGGGATAACTGGTGGTTATCAAATGGTGATTCCATTCCAAGTTTTCTGAGGAATCTCTATACTGCTTTCCAGAATGGTTGTGCCAATTTGCAGTCCCACCAACAATATATGAGTGTACCTTTTTTCCCACATCCTCACGAATATTTATTGTTACTTGTACTTTTTTAAAATTTTTTTTAGTTGTTGATAGACTTTTATTTTATTTATTTATATGTGGTGCTGAGAATGGAACCCAGTGCCACATGCCAGGCAAGTGCACTACCGTTGAGCCCCAGCCCCAGCCCACTTGTACTCTTGATAATTGCCATTCTGACTGGAGTACGATGAAATCTCAGTATAGTTTAAATTTGCATTTCTCTAATTGCTAAAGACATTGATTTTTTTTCATCTGTTTGTTGATCGATCATACTTCTTCTTCTGTGAATTATTCACAGGAGTTCCTTTGCCCATTTATTGATTGGGTCATTTGTTTGCTGGTGTTAAGTTTTTTGAATTCTTTATTTTTTTAAAAAAAAAATTTCTTCGTTGTAGATGGACACAATACCTTTATTTTGTTTATTTATTTTTATGTGGTGCTGAGGATCAAACCTAGTGCCTCGCACGTGCGAGGCAAGCGCTCTCCCCCTGAGCCATAACCCCAGCCCCTTTTGAATTCTTTATATATACTGGAGATTAATACTCTATCAGAGGTGCAGAAGGGAAAGATTTTCTCCTTTTCTGTAGGCTCTCTCTTCACATTATTTTTTTATTTTCTTATTTAGTATTTATTTTTTAGTTATAGTTGGACACAATACCTTGATTTTATTTATTTCTTTGATGTGGTCCTGAGGATCAAACCCAGGGCCTCACACATGCTAGGGGGGCACTCTACCACTGAGCCCCAGCTCCAGCCCCTCTCTTCACATTCTTGATTGTTTCCTTTGCTGTGAGGAAGATTTTTAGTTTGAGGTTTATGACATTCTTCATGGAAATTTACATCATGTTTTTAATAAGGCGTTCAGTACTAATTATTTGCAACAAATTGGTAAACTGACATGTGTTTATGAAATATTGCTTTTAGTTCCATTTAGTTTAGTTCAGCCATAAGTTACTCAATCTAAAGGTAGGAAGGACCTGTACAGGGGGTTGGTTGTGAGAAGTGAATGGGATCAGGATTTTCATAATATCACCTCCTCCGTGGGGGAGTGGACAAGCAGCAGCACACTGGACCGCCATCCTGATCCCTCCCAAAGCAGCAAGGCTTCCACAGAAACTTCCAGCACATACTCCTGATTTTCAGTGGCCCACACTGGGTCCCACATCCACTCCTGAACCAGTCACCCACATGTGAGGATTGTCTGAGCTGGGCTCACGCCAACTTCTCTGACATCCTTGGTGTTGAGGGCTGGGGTGGACTAAACAAAGCAGGGCTCTGATTGGAGGAGGCTGTGGGACAGGCAACTCATGACACCAGCATGACCTGCAGAGGACTCCTGGGCTCCAACCAGGGTTGTGATGGTGCTGGCATCATGTCAGGACCTGCACTCTGTCACCCTTTGTATTATTAGCCTTCCAGTTTTCCACCCACAATTGATAAGCATCTTCCTACATAGTGACTCAAGACACAAAATCCACAAATACTTTGGATGGTGACTTGTTATACAACCCTGCTGCCTGGTCAATTTAAAAAATTTCCTACACATTTTTTTTTTTTTTAGTCACAGAATGCTCTCAGCTCACTGTGAACCACAGCAATCAAAGAAGAGAAGATTCCAACATTTCCAGAGATATTTCCAAAGAAATGATTGCAGAAATCTCTAGTGTACAGGAAAATTATCATAAAGAATAGCTGGAGGAGCTGGGGGTGTAGTTCATTGGTAGACTGTTGTTAACATGTGTAAGGCCCTGGGTTCGATCCCCAGATCCAAAAAGGAAAAAAAAAAAAAAGGGAGTGCTTAGAATCAGCATAACTCTAACTCATTGAGAAAAGAAAAAATAAACTTGTTTATACTTTTACAGAAGTAGACAATTCTCCAAAAGTGATATAAAAAAAGTGATATGGCCAATAAGCACACAAAAGGATGGTCAATGCCATTAGTTACCAAAGAAATGCAAATCAAAACCATGGGATGCCATTTCCTGCTCACTAGGATGCATATAATCAGAAAGTCTGAGAATAATGTGTTGGCGAAGATGAGAAATTAGAACCCTTCTACCATGCTGTTGGGAAAGTAAAAGGAACATCTGCTCAGAAGTCTGGCAGTTCCTAAAAAGGTTAAATGTTGAGTTACCACATGACCCAGCAACTCCACTCCCAGGTGCATACCTGAGAGAAATGAAAACATATGTCTGTACAAAACCTTGTATGCAAATATTCATAGCAGCAGCATTATTGGTATCAAGTGAATAAATGTAGTCTATCCCTTCAGTGTAACCTTATTCAGCCATAGAAGAAATGAAGTACTGAACATATAACATGAATGAACCATGAAAACATTATGCTAAGAATCCAGACCAAAAGTCCACTTATATGAGGTTCAGAGTAGGGAACTCTGTGGAGACAGAATGCAAATGAGTGGATGCCTAGGGCTGGGTGAACTGGGAGAAATGAGTGACTATTAATAGTTACAGACAGGATTTTTTTTTTTTAGAGAGAGAGAGAATTTTTTTAAATATTTATTTTTCAGTTTTCGGTGGACACAACATCTTTGTATGTGGTGCTGAGGATCGAACCCGGGCCGCACGCATGCCAAGTGAGCACGTTACCGCTTGAGCCACATCCCCAGCCCCAGACAAGATTTCTTTTGGAAGTGATGAAAATGTTCTGAAGTTGATTGTGGTGATAGTTGCACAACTCTGACATGTACTAAAACCCACCAAATTATACACTTCACATGGGTGAGTCTCGTGGTATGTAAATTATATCTTAATAAGGCTATTAAAATAAAAAGGAATAGGTGTCCATTTAAAAAGTCTACTCATTACCTTTCATGCTGACACACACAATGCCCAACACAGTAACTATAACAACTGTCAGGAGGATCATGAGGACAATCAAGTAACAGAGAAGGATTCTATCAGCACATCTAGTCTCCCTTTGGGAATAACATATAAAGTCAGAATGCCAATCCACCTGTCCAGAAACAGGGAGGGTAGGAAGTAAATCCAAGGAGCTGCTTTGTAAAACATGATACAAAGAAGTAAAGGGAGTTGGGCTGGGGTTGTGGCTCAGCAGTAGAGCGCTCATCTAGCATGTGTGAGGACCTGGGTTCCATCCACAGCACCACATAAAAATAAATAAATAAAATCAAGGTATTGTGTCCAACTACACCTAAAAAATAAATATTAAAAAAAGAAGTAAAGGAAGTTAATATTTTTCAAAACAAGGTAAGGCTTACTGTGGAATAGAATTTTCTTCAATAAAAGACACACCAAGTCAACCAAAGAGTATGGTGCTCTCTCTCTTTTTCACTTTCCATGCTTATAGCATTGCTCTTATTCTATGACTGCTATATTCCGTTTAAATGCACTTAAATCTATAAGCAAGCAGATTAATGTCAACAGCTGGAAAACTGACATCATATGCAACAAGTAAACCAACAAACCATGTTTGCTAAATTATTAGCAAGATAATTTGTACATCTGTGGATTAACAAGATCAACACACATTGAATCTGACCCAAGAGGGTTGGAACAGAACAGAGATGCAAAGATGTTCATGGTGAGCACTGCAAAAAAAATCAAAAGGACAAGACTTGTGGTCTTGTTTTCTCTGACAAGTGGATGCTGATCCATAATGGAGGACGGGGGCGGTAGGGAAGAATGGAGGAACTTTCGATTGGGCAGAGGGGAGTGAAGGGAGAGGAGAGGATGTGAGAGTGGGAAGGAAGGTGGAATGAGACCCACATTATTACCTTATGTACAGTTATAATTACATGACAGTGTGACTCTGCACCATGTACAGCCAGAGGTATAAGTTGTGCTCAAAAAAAAAATTTTTTTTTTAAAGGCATCGGCAGGAGATCCATGAAGCTGAAAGCTGAGCTCCAGCCACCTCTGCCAGGAAAGTCTCCAGGTTCTGCTCGAACCTGGTCTGTGTCTAGAACTCAAATCACTTCATGTCCCCACTGAAGTCCCATTTCCACCGTGAAGGGGGCACCTTCATTAAACTGTAATGCAAAGTGTAAAAAACAAAACAAAACAAAGCAAAAAAACACCTATAAAGAGGAAAAAATAAAGTGAAAGATGTAAACGCACCCACCAAGTGACTGGGTGGGCGACCCTCGCAGGTGCAGAGGGCGGTGGGCGGCGGGTGGGTCAGTGCGCGTGCGCGCGCCTCGGTCCTGAGCGAGCATGCGCAGTGCCCCGCCTTGTGCGCCTGTGCGAAGTACCGGCGGATTTGCTTGTGGAGTCCAGGGAGGTGAGAGGCGCTGGCGTCGTCTGAGGGTTGCTGCTCTTTGGCCGTCGCTGTCCCGCCATGACTTGGTCTTCCCCGCGTTCTTGAAGCTGTTCCTGCGAGCGTTGTCCTGGACGGCGATGAGGAGCAGGGAGGCAAGCCGTCACCTGAGGCTCTGACGAGAGGTACTGACGCGGTCACCGCGATGGCCTTTTAGTCTCTTGCCTGGTCCTCGCGACGGCGGAGCAGGTAGGTGCGGGTGCTGTCCCCGCTTTATAGACGTCAGACCGAGGCCGGGAGAGGGGAGGCCGTGTCGGGGTCACATCCACGGCCCAGAGGTCAGCGCTGCCGGGCAGCAGCACGGGCTGCCGCGCGGAGGACGGGTGGAGCGGGGCGTCATTACAGACCCAAAATGGCGGCCTCCAACTTTCTGGAGCTGTTATGAGGAGACGCCTCAGAAAGCACTGAAAGTCCGAATTTCAAATCAAAAGAGAGCTTTATTTACCTGGCCAGGGACTGTCACCCACCGTGGAGATTTAAGCTCTGTGGGAGGACAGCAGCTTCCTGGTTCATCCAAAAAGAATATAAGCACAAAATCCACAACTCAGTGACTCGCTTATCATCATGTAAGCTAGCCGGTCATAGAAATTAAAACATTAGTAAGTGGGACCTGTGGGCTCCAGGCAGGACTGGAATTTTCCAGTCAGCAAGCCAGCGATAAACAGAAGCAAAACAAGCATTAGCTTTGCAGTTCAGTTGATCACAGTCCTGGGTTCAAGCAGGTGCTGGACAGTTGCTTCCTGAATTTGGGCGGGTGTTGTGGGGGCTGAGAATCTACTTCAAAGTCATATAGACCCACAAGTGTACTCAGACCCAGGATGTAGCTCACCATGACTACCACTGCATTCTGATTAGGGTACAATTTGTGGGATACAAAGTACAGAAAAACAATTTTTATAAGAAAACAGCTTTTGTAACAGTTTTTTATAGAAAGCAGCAAAATGGAGTCTTAGGCCTGTCTATGACAGTTCTTGCTTCATAATTGTCTTATCTCACTTATCAAACTCTTATATCTATAAACTATATTTTTAACTAATATGTAATCTAATTTACACTCTTATTGATTGTATTTATCAGTTCACACCACAACAGAGCCAGGTGCACTTGCATGGTTCCCACTTTGCTCGGAGAGCAGAGCTCCTGCCCTGCAAGACAAAGGTAGGAAATAATGCCCTTCGTTGTTGCCCTTCTTGAGCTGGGGGTGGCAGAATTTCTCGAGAAGCAGAATGGCTCTGCATATGTGTGTTGTTCCGGAGTGTGGAACCAGTGGGGAGTGCCATTGGTGCATGAAGTCCACTTGCAAAGGGTGTGGGCAAGGAATAATATCATGGTTCTGAAAACGTAGATTCTGAAGGGGAAAGGGATTTCAAAACAAGAAATGTGGTCTGCTTTCCAGGAACTTTGTAGTTTTTAGGGCCAGGTTTTTCAGAGATCATTTCCCTATTATTTTGTGTAGACATGGAGACCTGAATAGCACAAAACTGATGAAAAACACAAGCACTCAACTACTGTGCTAAATTCCAGTCCCCGGGTTCCGCTTCTTATCTGGGCTTGAATCTTTAATAGGGCAGTCTTGCCTTCTGCTAAAATACCTGTAGAGATGGGTCAGACTTCTTATTACTTTGTGTTGTTCAGTGCTGTCTTTCATTGTTCTGCAGTGAGTTACAAAATCATAGTTATAAGACCACAGGACTCCTCCTTTTGAGTTTTATCGGTGCTCACTGTGAACATGTTTGCATCTGTGTTCAGTGCCTTCCCTCTTGGTTCAGATTCAATGTGTGTTGATCTTGTTAATCCACAGATGTATAAATTTTCTGTTTAATAATCTAGCAAACATGTAGTTTATTGGTTTACCAGTTGCATATTTCTGAGTCATATCAAGCAGTTTTCCAGCAGCTGACATTATATTTGCATCCTTGTGGCTAGAAATGGATTTAAATAGACTATAATAGACATAAAATAAGAACAATGATATAAACTTAGAAAGTGAAAAAGAAAGAAAGCCATACTCTTTCATTGACTTAGTGTATCTTTTTTTTTTCAAGGAAGCAGTTTATTAAAGATAATGTTCATCTGGTTTGTAGTGCATGCCTGTGATGCCAACCAACTACTTGTCTGGGGTTGGAGGATATCTAGTGCAGAGAACCATCTTCCCATGCAGATATCAGCAATGGCTAAGCCTCCAGCAGATCCCCACATTCCCAGTTCCCTTTGGGGGCCCAGTGGTAACAGGGATCTAAGGCACATGGGAATCCAGAGAATATCTAAAGTGTGTAAAAACCCTGAATTCCCTTTGTAGCTGAAGGATTTGGATTGGAAATTTCCCAAATTGGAACATTAATGTCAAAACCATTGGCCACTAGAAATTAGGCATATGGAAAATAGGCTAGAGTTAGGGGTCACAGCTGGGTACCTAGTAATAATGTCTCTAGGGAAAACCAGATTCCCTTTTCACCCCAGCCTGTCCTCTTTGGATAGTGGGGCAGAGGCAGGATTTTCTCTGTACCCCAGTCCAGACCCTCTTATTCAATATGCTAGTCTTACTTTGATCTGAAGAATTAGCTTAGGCCACGCTGGGCCTGGTGGCTCAAGCCTGTAATCTCCAGCGACTCAGGAGAGACCAAGGGAGGACTGTAACAATTCTAGGCCAGCCTGGACAACTTAGCCAGACCATCTCTAAAGGGCCGGGGATGTAGCTCAGTGGTTAATACCCCTGGGTTCAATCCCAGGAACCAAAAAATGAATTAGCTTACCTTGGGAGCCTTATTTTTGTAGGGTGGACAGAAGTGCAGAAGCCGCAAATCTCCAGAAGGCTCCCAGGATGCCTCCTCAAATAGCAGACTTAGTGTGTCTTTATATTAATGAAAATTATATTCCATAGTCAGGGTTACCTTGTTTTGGAAAATATTACCTCCCTTTACTTCTTTGTATCATGTGTTACAAAGCAGCTCTTTCGATTCCATTTCTGACCCTCCCTATTTCTGGACAGGTGGATTGGCATTTTGACTTCGCATGTCATGCAGCAAAGGAGATTTGATGTGCTTGTGGAATCCTGCTCAGCAGTTACTTGATCTTCCTCAGGGTCCTCCTGGCAGTTGTTATAGCTATTGTGTCAACCATCATGTGTGTCACCATGAAAGGTAAAGAATAGCCTTTTCTATTTGACACCTATTTCATTTTATTTTCATAGTTTATTGAGATGTAATTTGCATACCCTGTGATCCACCCATTTAAAGTATACAACTCAGGGTTTTTAGTACATGTCAGAGTTGTGTAACTATCACCACAATCAACTTCCAAACATTTCATCACCTCCAAAAGAAATCCTGTCAGTACCAATTAGCATTTCCCCCCACAGTTCACCAAGCCCTAGGCACCTACTCATCTGCATTCTGTCTCCATAGATTTGCCTATTCTGGACATCAGAGAAGTGGAATTATCCACTGTGTTATCTTTTAGTCTGGCTTCTTAGCATAATGTTTTCATGGTTCACCCATGTTATTCATGCTTAGACCTTTATTCCTTCTTATGGCTGATTAAATTGACATTGAAGGGACCCCATTTTACTCATCAGTTGGTGAATATTTGAGTATTTCTCTTTTTAAATATTACCAATAATGCTGCTATGAATATTTGCACACAAGTGTTTGTACAGAAGTGTGTTTTTATTTCTCTCAGGTATATATCTGGGAGTGGACTTGCTGGGTCATGTGGTAACTCTACATTTAACCTTTTTTCAAAAAGTATTTTTTAGTTGTCAGTGGACCTTTTTTTATTTTTATAGGGTGCTGAGAATCTAAACCAGTGTCTGACACATGCTAGGCAAGTGCTCTACCACTGAACCACAACCCTAGCCGCTCTACATTTAACCTTTTGAGGAACTGTCAGACTTCTGAGCAGCTGCACCTTTTACTCTCCCATCAACAGTGTAAAGGGTTCTAATTTCTCATCCTAACCAACACATTATTAGACTTCCTGATTATAGATATCCTAGTGATCAGGAAATGGTATCTAGTAGTTTTGATTTGTATTTTTTGATGACCAGTTGACTAAAAGGTGTTGACCTTTCATGTGCTCATTGGCCATCAGTTTTGGAGAACTAATTCTGTAAAAGGATAAACAAGTTTATTTATCTCTTTATTAATGAGTTATAGTTATACTGATTCTGTGCCACCCCCTTTATTTTGTTTTGGTGCTGGGGATTGAATCCAGGGCCTTGCACATGGTAACCAAAATCTATCAGTGAACTATACCACTAGCCCTTCTGTCTAATCTTTTTGATAATTCTTCCAACATATTACAGATTTATGCAATCATTTCTTAGAAAATATCTCTGGAAATATTGGAATCTTCCCCTCTTTGATTGCAGTGGTTCACAGTGAGCTAAGCATTCTGTGGCTAATAAAAAAGGGCATAGGAAATTTTAAAAATTGAGTCTCTTCTCTTAGCTGGTCCCAATTTGTGTCCTTTTTTACATGACAAATCAGTAATTATAGGATTCGTGCTCTCCTAACCTCAGTGAGATGTTAATAGAAAATTATACAATAGGATCATGGGAATCCCCGAATTTGCAGCCATTGGTGAGAAGTGCGAGTGGCCTGGGAAACCCGGAGCTTATGGCTGATGTCTAAAAAGAAGATGGTGTAGGGGCGGCCTGTGGCCTCAACTGGTAGCACATGACCTTCATGTGGTTGATCAGCATCAGATTTGCTTTACACAGTGCTGTCTTTAATGACTTCTTCCTTTTTGGTACTTTTACCTCTGAAGTTACTCCATTCACCCAACCACCATCCCTCTTTTAACACATTCAACCAATCTTAAGCTCATTCAATATTGGTCCCTTCCAATCCCTTCACATCATCTCCACTTGCCTCTCCAACCCCACATCACATCTCATCGATGGCTCCGTTGCCACCTCTCTTTAGCTTTGTTTTTCTTCTGGCTGATACTTTGCTTTACCTGCTTCTTTCCAGCTGTTCCCATATTCTCTGATGCTCTCATCTCTCAAGGTACTTGTCTACAGTCATTCATTGCCCAAACTCTTAGCTCTTTCCTCTCTGTGCCTTCTATTTACCAGCTCGAGGTCTTCCTATCATCTCATTCTTCTTCCAACCTGCTCTAGTACCTTCATTTCCCTTCACAAGTTTCTATTTCAAGAAGACTCTTTGGATTTTCTTCTGTCATGTAAAATTAGAAACACAGGTTGTGGAGAAGACTCCCATTTTGACTCAAGTAGCAAAGACTACTATTCCCCCTGTGTTCCTAACCTTGGACATTACCAGGAAGCCATCTCCTGTTATATGCTCTCCTCGATTTTGGATTTAAGATTATTGTACAGCTTCCTTTAAATTTTCTTTCACTCTTCCTGTGTTGTCTCTCTCAGTGACTTCCTGTGTTTCCTCTTCCAGTCTCTACTTTAAGTTCTGCAACCTTCTCTGTTATTTCGCTACCTAAAAAATGAGGTGTTTTTCTCCCACAAGTAAGAAATTTGGTCAATTAACCGCAACCCTGTATTGTTTGACAACAAAAAAATAATCCAGAATGACAAGATCATATGCATCATTACAGTAAGAAGAGTTTCAACTTTATTCAGTTTCCTCACAAATGCACTGTGCTGTACTCTTCACAAGCACATAACACATGTGCTCTCTTACAATATACACTACAGAAAAACATTTAAAGAAAAGTTCAATAACAGCAGCTTGATATTCACCATAATGATGATAGAACATCACATGAAAATTTTATATTTATTAGATTATGGGTTAATAACACTGAGGTATAAAAGTAATATGATAAAATAGATAAAAAGAATAAAAACCTCAGAGAAATATATATATGAACACAAACATGTTATAACACTCATTACAAAACTAATAAGGAAAAACAAATTTCCAAACAATATCTATCTCAGAACTATTTAAAATAAACAGTGTTCAAAATAAATGACATTTATCACATGTACTAAAACTGTGACAATCATATAAATAAATCATCTTCATGCTTGTTATCCTTAAGGGATATGTGACCCAAGATGAATTAAAAGGAGAGGTAAAAAGAGAATTTACAGGGGGAGAGAGAGATTCATGGCTAAAGGATATTCACTTTAGACCAAGATCAACCATTCATCAAAGCTGACATGTGGGCCCAATTGCTGTGGGTTTAGGATTTCTAGCACATCCTGAATGATAAACTGTTCTCTCTCAGGTCTAGCTGAGCAACCTCAGAGCCCCCAGCACACCTCTAGGGGGTCATCTGTGTGGTTGGAGTTTGAGACCATGAAGCTGACTTGGAGATTCAGGCTGTTTCACCATCTGCAGAGGGTGGCTGTGGGTGGAGGTGGACAGGACTGGATCAAGAAGGTAGGTCCTCGAGCATCCTGAATAGAAAATCACTGACTCTGTCTGTCATCAAGCCAGGGATACAGAATTTTGTCCCTCCCCTCAGGCCAACATAGTTCCAGGACTTCTAGGCAATGAGGGTGCGATCCCGGCCCCACACCCAGAGCTCCGGATCATAAGCTTGAATCTGGAAAGGAAAAGAGCCCCCACCAAAGCTGATGACTTTACAGGATATTGAGGGGTTTGAAGTTATGGTTAATTTATTTTCCCATTCCTTAAAATCACTTCACTTTGATTTGGACGTTCTCGTCACCGTGATTCACACAGTCTATAAATATCTAAAACTACAATGTTGAGAGGCTTGATTCTATTAACTAAGTTCTGTCAGCTACACAGGAGGTGACATAGCAAGGTGTAATTATTAGATTTATTTAGCCTGGTGACAAATGAAGTAGCTATATACGGATATCACAACATTATTTCAGCTATTACTCACATGGACGACACTTATCAGGATCATGTTATATAAAATGTGGGACACATTTTTTCAGATTTCTTTTCAATAAAAATCGAGTATATTTTCCTATATCAGATAAATAAATTAAGCATTTGTAAAGATGCTTTGACAGATAGAATCCTTTTGGTGTCCCTTCCCATCAAATTTGAAAAGTTGATTTTATCAAGAGACAAGCTTTATCATTGTCCCTGATTTGAGTAGAATAGTGGTTGAACATTAGTAATATTTCTGCTTGGATCCATCAAGAATACTTAGTAACATGGTTAAATGCAAAACTGAGGACTGCCCAGGAAGTCCTTCCCTCCCTCCTGAGCTTTCTCCTCCCCAGAGCCCACCTGCAGCCACCCACCTTCCTGTGTCACTCCAGTCAGCCCATCCCTCTCCCCCCACAAGCACACACAGCACCACCCACCTCCTCACACTCCTCCTTGGAAACCCGAGTGTTCCAGTTCATGGAGCAGATGAACTGATATCGCAGTTTGTGGAACAGGGGACGCTGGGCGTAGTAGCTCTTCCCATAGAGGAAACGAAAGATTTCTTGTTTAGGAGCCTGGTTGTCCTCCTCCATGTCATTGGCCAGGTAGCTGGGGAAAGAAACCAGGTTGCTCTTTAGAGGCACAACCAAGAAGGACCTCCCCTTGGAGTCAGCTTCCCAAAACGGACTCCCAGAGGACCATCTTCAGACAGGACTGCACCAGCCCTATTAAGTGTTACAGAGGACCATGCCTTGGTCCAGAGGACTCTGCCAGACACACACCTTCTGAAGAACTCCAGCTCTTTTCTAGAAAGCATTGAGCAACACAGTTGTGGGGCAGTCCTAAGAGGTGGTTGGACCCATCTTGGAAGAATTTTTAGGGTGTGTGTAGAAAGCCACAAATGTGAGAAGACTCCTGTATGAAGAACCAGAGGGGACCACCCTACACTGGACCTGTGCCAGGCTGGGAATTGGGCATCTGTCTTGGAAATCCAGAGGCAGAAAACAGAGCAATGTTGGTATAGATACAGGAAGGAAGAGCAGTCAGATGTGGCTGCACCTCCAGTCTCTCTGCCAGTGACAGGAGGTGCCCATGCTCTCTTCCACTCCTCTCAGGTGGGCTTTAGGTTTCCTTGGTTTTCTTGACTCTTTAACAACTGGCCTTTAGGGAGCTTGTGTGTTGCTTTGACTAGGGAAGTGTGGAAAAGAAAAACAAACTATACTACAGTGCTGTGATCTCGTGAACACGGAGCAAACAGGACAAAGAGGCTAAAAGTAAAAGAAAGGTTAGTGCCCCTCTGCTCCCCTCCTACCCTCCCAGGTAGTGAGTCCTGATTGATGAAGGAGACCCAATACTCACAGGGCCAGAAAGAAGTGGATTCGTTGGTACTGCCAGGAGAAGAGGCCAGCCCGGCTAAAATAAGCTATGACCATAGACAGGAGGTACTGATGGAGAGAGAAGAAAAACACAGAGAGAGGTCACATCCTGGAAGAGGAGGAAAGAGGGGACAGGAATGGGAGTCTGGGGTAAAGAGTGCCCCTGAGAGAAGTTCACCACGTAAGGAGACCTGCTGGTTTGGGGAAGGACCTGAGACAGTCAGAGCAGTTGGGGGAAGAAGAGACTTAGTGTGTTCTGTAGGATCAGCTCTGAGGGGACCTTTTGAGGAAAGGCATGTAGGTCAGCTGGGTGAGGAGGGTCTTGGGTAAGCTGGAGAACAGGGGGTCCCAAGAAGTGCAAAGAGGAGAGGAGCCCCAGCAATAGGGATATAGCTCACTCTGTAGAGTGCTTGCTAGCCTCGCATGCACAAGGCCCTGGGTTCAATCCCTAGCATCACAGAAAAAAGGCTGTTGAGCACTGGGGTTTTGGCTCAGTGGTAGAGAGCTTGCCTAGCACATGTGAGGCATCGGATTCGATCCTCAGCACCACATAAAGATAAAAAATAAAGGTATTCTGTATATCTACAACTAAAACATATTTAAAAAAATAAAAGAGGAGAGGCGCCCAAAATCTCAGGTAACAATAGCCGAGAGAGGAGGATAGGAATGCAACACCCCAAGCAGAAGCAAGGTCCACCTGTCCTCACTGCATGGAACTGCTAGGCCCTGAAGAGAGATGTTGACAAGTCACAAAGGGTCAGGACTTGGCACATCTTGTTGGTTCTACATGGAGACAGAAGGACCGTGGGCTAGAAATCCCTCCTCATCCAGGCTGTGCTGGAGCAGGATCACTGCCCAGTAGAGAACAACCTCACCTTGTCAGACACTCTCAGATTCTTGTCCCAGGCCAGGAATCTTTTGACAACAGGATCTTCTGTGAACAGAACACTGGTGTTAGTTGGGAACCAGAAGGGGCTTCATGGGTGATAGACAACAGAGAGAAGAATAGGACCTCCACTGAAGAAGGTGTGGGATTGGAGTGCAATAGAGCCCAAAAGAGCCCGATATCCCAGTTGGATAGGAAAAGGACAGGAACATTCCTGGGAAAGCTGCTTTGCCCTGAAACCCCCCAGGGAAACAACTGAGTGAGGGTTGGGGTAAGAGATAGACGTCTGTATGACTAAGAACTTGGAGTAAACCGCGAGGGCCCATCATCCCCCAAGAATGCACCACCTCAGAATTAGAGTTTCTATGTTATTTTCTAGTTTGATAGGCACCGCTCAGGGAGGATGAAATCTATTAGAACCACAGTGTCTGCAATCAGTGAGGATAATTGGAATCAAGCTCTGTGATCCCAAGCAGGGTCATTTTTCAGGTGTAATGTAATCATCCATCATCTAAGAGTTTCACAGGGTACAGGGGTCCTGAGTCCTCCAGGAATGGGGATCTCAGGGATAGCAGGGCTCTTTGGAAAAGTGCAGTGGCTGTAAGTTCCTTGTTTGTGTAAAGAGCAGGATTGGAGGGCGCTACCTGGGTGTCTCCCTACCTAGAAGCCTCTTGAAAACCTCATGGTGTTCTGGTTGCACCGAGTTCATGCGCCGTTTTTTGAGTTTCATTTTGAAGCCACACAGTGACTCCACATCCCAGGGGTGATTTAGCTCACTTTCCAGATCCTCCAGCTCATCCTCAGATTCAGTGGAGGACTCTCTCTTTCTCTTTAGGCCAGTGGTCTCAGGCAGGAGGCCAGATTCTACCCAAGGTACTGAATCAAAAATCCCCGGGGAATCATCATCCGAGTCTCCCTCAGATTCTGAGGTCCACTCTCTCTTCCTCGAGGACCGACATGGGAGGCAGGGTTTTACCCACAGAGCTGAGTAAAGGAAGCAGAGTCAGGCTCCTGTATTTGGAACTCATCCTTTCATCCTCTGATCCCAGTTCACCTCCCACACCCCAGACCTTCAACTGTTGCCTTCTTAGCTTGGCTGGTAGCTGTCTTCTCCTTACCATTGTCCCATCTCCCTGTTCCTCAAAACTCTTTCTCATTATGGACACTTTCTCTCACGGGTGGAGTGACCCTTTTTACATCCCCTGTACCCATTTCCTGAACTTAGATCTCATCTTCTAGCCCAATTCCTTTCTCTGCAGATTTTCCATCCATGTGGACTTCCTTGTCCCGTGGCCTATTCTGAACTTCAAAAGTGGGCTTCCCACCTTTCTGGCTGCTCTATCCCTTCCTCCTTACCAGTCATCATGTCAAATCAGTTCTCACTCTAGCTCCCTCACCTGATGGACCTGCCACCTCATCATCTACCACCACCTCCAGGTGGGATTCTGAGGTGCTTGGCAGGGAAGGCGATTGCCCAGACTGGGAGATTTGTTGATCCTCCATAAGTTCTCCAATACTCTTGTCTTCCTTCTACAAAACCTAGGTTCTTATTAAGATAAATCTTTCTCCAGAATTTGGTTGAATAGGAGTCTGTTCGCTCTTCTCCAAACAGGAGAAACCAGGTGAAGAACAGTACTGAGGACAAACTGTTGCCCACTGCACTGCCAGTGGTCAACAGAGTCTGTCCCTTCCAGTCAGGAAGGTTGGAAGCCTCTGATGTCATCGCTTATTGCAACCTGGCAACCAGTTTGAAGGAAAACACCTGCAATTGTCAGACTGGAATGTGCACCTGTCCTAGAGTTCTAGAGGAGATGGTCTCTGCTGCTACTAATCCAAACTCTGTCCACTTTGTCTCTGACCCCTTTTTCACTTCTGTCTAGACATGGGTTCTTCTCTCCGTTCTCAACACAACACATGTTAGATACCCAGCCTCTGGGCATTTCCATTTCAGAGTTCAGTGCAGTGGGAGATTAAGGAGTATGGCAAGGAAGAAGGGGGAGGGCAGAAATGACATGACCTCCCAAGAAGGAGCTCAGTATGTACAAAAGAACCCACGTACACTGAATTATCACTTGAAAACCCTAAAAGGAAACACTCAGTTTAGCAAATCTAATCTGCTAAGTGCCACTGGTCTTCACTATTTTCAGAAATCTGTTAAGGGGACACAGACTCTGCACTTAGGCATGTTTGACACAAGGGTTCCTTTTGAGGTCATAAAATCATAGGAAATTGTACCCATGCTCATGGTTTTCCCAGAGTGTCTACACTTTCTGGGAGTCTATGGATCACCTCAGGTTAGCCTCTCAGTTCCAATCAATCTCTCTCAGTTACATAGCATATTTGGGAGCACAGACATTGCTCTTGACCTGCATGTTTCATTATCACCCATGCACCCTATGGAAAGTCTCACATGTAGAAAGAAGAAACAAATGGGAGATTTTCCCATTGGAGACAGACAATAATATTTGCTGAGAAGATGGGAAGTGCATGGGATGTGACCCAGCACCCAGTGGAACTGGGAAGCTGCTTCCAAACGTCCTAACTCAGCCTTTTGCTTTCCAGCTGGGCATTCAATCCATGTTTTATCTTTCTGTCCACAAAATGTGTTTAAATGTGTAGAAAACTTGCCATGTTACCCATCGTGGTGTGTAGAGGGTGAGTGGTGTCAATTACATGCATGTCTCACTTAATAATGGAGATATATTCCTAAAAATGTGTTATAGGGTGATTCATCATTGTATAAACATCCTAGAGTGCTCTTACACCAACTGAGATGGCTACAATTTCACTGTGCTGTCATACTGTGGGACAAATTCATGTATGTGGTTCCATCGTTGGCCATAACGTCATCGTGTAGGGCATGAGTTTAAATTTCTGTTGTGCAACCACCTGCATCACTCATCTGGAGAGCTTTTCCATCACCATAAACAGACACTCTTTACCAATGAAGCATTAATTCCTACTTCTCCTTCTACAGCTCCTACTGACCACCATTCTACTTTCTGTCTCTATGAAATTGAAAACCCTCGGTACCTCATCTGTGTTGAAGACTGTGAACTCATACAGTATGTGTCCCACTGTGTCTGGGTCATTTCACTTTGTGTACTGTCCTCAAGATCCCACATTGCTGGAGAAGGGGTCGGAATTTCCCTCTTTCTTAAGGCTGAATAGCAGAAGAGAAGATAACATCTTTTGTCCATCTGTTTATCCCTCAGTGGGCATTGGGTTGATTCCATATTTAAGCTGCAAGACTTTCTTTTGCCACTGTTGGACCTTATCAACAAGATCATGTTTGTTATTCATGCTGTGCTTGAAGCTTTATTTTGCATTTTAATGTCTTACATGATTCTGATGACCCCATTCCAAGCAGGAGTAAATGCAGGTTGATTTGTGTTGTCAGCTGAGAGTGAGTGTCCACCTAGTTTTGCAGCCCTGGATGTTCAGAGTTGAATGAGCACCCAGCAGCCTTCCAAGTGACCATGAGTTCCTTGGCAGCTCTCTCTCAGGTCCTGGCTGTCAGGAAGCAGGTCATGTTGCTGTGGAAAACCAATTGCATAGATGCTCCGCTTATTCGATTTCCCCATGATGTCTTTAAGCATCAGAGCTGCTTGGGTTCTCTCATAGCAAATCAGAAGTTCACACTCTCCCTTGTAGTGGACAGCCTTCAAGTACACCCACATGCCACATGA